TAAAATTCATTTATTTATTTTCTAAGAATTGGATTTGTTGTCAAGCTTGAATAGACAGACAATGAATAGCTCCTATAAATTGCCATTATGATACTATTTGATAACTATCGCATAAATAATTAATTTTACATTAATTATAAGAAGAGAATATCAAAAGTTAATTCTCAGATTAATTCAAAGAATTTCATAGATCATAAAGCCGCTTATTATCTTAATCTTCTCTATGTAATATTAAAATAAATAATGAAGCTATTAATGAGAAAACTAATCTATAGGAAACATTCAATACCAGCTTAACTTAGATTGTATAGAACACAATCAAAGTAAAAACAGAAGCCTTTCCAAAACCCTATTATCATATTGATAATGTCAAATTACCTTGCATAGTCATTACGAAGACTTGAGTCACAAGCTATTGTAGAACAAAAAATACAATGAGTCTTTTATCAAGATTTTCTTTTCCGGAGTAGGGTCCTGCACGTATACAGATTTTTTCATCCGAACTGGAATCGGAGCTAATCGACATCCGGCAGATACTTTCACAGCCATAGTATCGTTTTCAAACCTTTATTTTACATGGAGAAGTATCTTGTTTTAGTTTCTTTCACGAACAGTAACAAAGAAAAGAGATTATCTAGAATTCTACAAACAAAAAGCAAGTGATTCAGGATTTATCTGATGTCTTTCTGCTTCGAACATTTGACCAATTCCGCTAACTATAGGTTTGCTTGTTGCTGATGATGGCGAAGTAGAGCTTACGAGGGAACATATGCAAGTGTAAAATCGCTTTTGAGTCAGAAGTGGGCGCATCATGTAGGTCTTAGTGAGCTATGAATACCCTGAAAAAAGTTCGGGCTGTTGGTTTATTGCTGCCGAGATATTACATTTTTACGGTATTCTTTTTATCACAATGCGGTGGTCCCCATCAGGACTCTCAGAAAACCTAAGTTTTGAATTTCGACCTGAAACTTTGCACAGTGGTAGACTATAATGAGAATAGTTTATTGTGAAAGCTTCAGATTTTTTGATTCCTTCTATTATGAAACAAGAACGAAAGAATATATCGGTGTATATTGGGAAGTAAAAACGTGCTGTTACCGTAGTCCTGTCTTAGGATAGCAAGAATAAAATGATCTGAAACTTTTACAATAAACTCTTCTCATTATGATCTATCTCTGCGCAAAGTTTCAAATCGAAATTCGAAACTTAGTTTTTTGAGGGTCTTGAGGGGAACCACGGCATTCTAATAAAAAATGTCGCAAAAATACAATATCTTGGTAGCAATAAACCAATAGCTCGAACTTTTTTCAGGGTATTCATAGCTCACTAAGACCTACATGACGAACATACTCCTGATTCAAAAGCGATTTTACACTTGCATACGCTCCCTCGTTAGACGGACTATATATACCCCTGGAAAGCAAAACCTGTAGTCGGTATTTCAGCTCTTCTGACACTCTAATAGTGTATTTCGGAAAAAATAATTATACCATTTGATAGCCCTTGGAGTTCTCTATCAAACTGTGTATTTTGATTTTACCTTTCTTTTATCTGCCGAAAAGTTAATCAAGTGGAATGAAGGCACCCTCTGTCCAGATTCCCACAGACTTTATTTTGTCACTGTCATCAAAATTAGTTTTTAAAATTTTTCATCACTATAGGATAATGTTTTTAAAAAAGCAATTATATATTCTAGTAGAGCTTGAAATTCTCTATCACCCTGTATATTTATCTCTTTTCGTGCAGTCGTTTATTGAAAAAAACTTTGAGTATAACAAACACATCCCCAATTAACCAGTACCAAAAATCTGCGTTTTCCGTTGCTTTGCAGTCTTCTTTTTGAATTCATTATTCGTATGAGAAAATATTTAAAAAAAAGCAATTGTAGATTCTGATAGAGCTTGAAACTCCCTATCATCTTGTATATTTGTTAACTATTTTGGATTTATGTGTCA